CCACCCCCTCCCAGCGCCGGGACGAGAACCCAGGAGTCCTGGCTCCCAGCCCCCCCTGCTCTGACCCACCAGCCCCACCCCCTCCCAGCGCCGGGACGAGAACCCAGGAGTCCTGGCTCCCAGCCCCCCCTGCTCTGACCCACCAGCCCCACCCCCTCCCAGCGCCGGGAGAGAACCCAGGAGTCCTGGCTCCCAGCCCCCCCTGCTCTGACTCACCAGCCCCCACTCCCCTCCCAGAGCCGGGAGAGAACCCAGGAGTCCTGTGGGCAGCTGGGTGATGGGGGGGTTTGGAGCAGGAAGAGGGAATTCTCTGCCAGCTGGCGCCTGAATTTCTTCCTGCCCATCCCGTCGCAGCCTGGCTCTGACCCCGGTCCCCGCTGGCCGCTCCCCCGCGCAGTGGGCAGCCCCGCCTGTGGGCGCAGCAGGGTGCAGATCCCGTTAAGCAGCATTTGTGTTGCAACACTGCTCCTGGGTGCCAGCCCCCCCACGCCCCACCCCCGGCGGGAGAGCCGCCCTGGGCATGCCTAACATCCTCCCTCGCAGCTCCTCCGGGAAACCCCTGGGCAGGGTCCCGCCCGGGCTCTTCCCAGGGCTCTGGGATCCAGGGGCAGCGGGGGGGGGGAGCTCAGTTCTTCGGCATTGGCCTCCCACTGGCCAGAACCGGTTGGGACTCCTGAGTTGGGTCTCCGTCAGGTCACCCGTCTTCCAGGCCATCAACAGGGGGCCCAAGATCCCTCGCTGGTCCTGTGTACCAATAAATTCCCTCTCCCCTCCCTCGTTAAACCAGTAACACCCAGGGAAACTGAGTCCCACCCCCTCTGCATGCAAACCATTGGAAAACCACACAAAAAATCCCCCACTTCGTCACAGGCACTAAACGGGCCCCCAGGGACACAGCCCCCCCCCCCCCAGGACCCTGCGCTGGGACAAATGAAGGAGATTCCTGGGCCCCAGCCCAGCTGTAACTGCACAAAACCAACCGTAGTGTCAATCTAGCAGGGGC